ACCATCAACTACCTCACTGACCGTCCTCTGTACATGCGGCTGCACGGCTGCCAGTCAAAGGTGGCACTCTGCAGCACCGGGGCCCCCCATTTCTTTTCACCCTCTACACCTCGGACTTCCCCTACAACACGGACAGCTGCCACCTCCAGAAGTTCTCAGATGATTCGGCCATTGTGGGCTGTGTGTCTGAGGAGAACGAGCTCGAATACCGGTCGGTCATCATGGACTTTGTGGACTGGTGTGAGAGAACCCATCTGTCTCTGAACACCAGTAAGACCAAGGAGATGGTGATCAACTTCAGGAGAAGTCCGCCACCACCCCCACCCCCGTCAACATCCAGGGCCAGGGCATAGAAACTGTGGAGAATTTTAAATAACTGGGTGTTCACGTCAATAATAAACTGGACTGGACTGGACTTATATTTTTTTATTTTTTTTATTTTGTTTTTCATTGTGTGTGATACATGTACACTTGCACCTTAATTCTTATTTATCTTGATATACTGTATATATCTTGATATACTGTATATATATTGTTTATTCTAAATGCACCGTTTTGCTCCTTGTTTGCACCTTCTTTAATTACTATGCCAATATGTGACCAGGGAATTTCTCAGCTGGGAGATCAATAAAGCTCGTCTAATCTAATCTAATCTAATCTAATCTATAAAACTAATATTCTAAGTAGTGTATGTGTTAAATTTGTATTCTGCTCCTCTGTGTTTCCAAAATATTCTTTTTTTCTGAACGTACCCCCACCCCCACAAAAATATTTCTCACAGCAAGAACATAACAAGGCTTCCACCTCATCCCCCAGTTATCCCTCTGCTCCTAAGGGGAGAAAGAGCTGTGCAATATCCATTAGCTATGCTTCTTTTGGCTTTGATGGATCAAAGAGCATTTTTAGGAAGTCAAAAGAGCCACTGCCAATGCAGAAAAGCAAAAATGTTGAAAGAGTTAGATGACCGAGTGTTGGCAATTGCAGAAGGAGAGGAGAGGGCAAGGATGGTAATGGAGGACAGGTTGTGTAGGAGACAGTGAATAGCTGTCAAGGCTTCCAGAGTTTCCCCACCTAGATCCACCTGAGAAGAAGGACACAACACTGTGTGAGCAATACTTCACACTAGGCTATACAGGGAAGTAAATGACAGCACTAGAAACTAGAAATTGATTTGGAATGTGCTAAAATGTGCTGCAGACGAGTCCATGATGTACTCTGCCTCTTACCCATAGATTGCAGTAGGTGGACCATGATGACAGTGATGAAGCAATAGAATATGGGAGGATTATCTATAATTATTATTGCTTAAATAAATGCAGACAAAACCTGAATTCAGAGCACGTTAAAGCCTTCTTTATTCCTGACTCAAGCCGTTAATTGAAAATCTACTAAAAACAAAAAAAAATGGTGTTTACAAGACCTTTGGTTCCAAATTTTGGAGAATTGACAAATGGGAAGTGTTTTGTTTGTTAAAAAAAAAGATTAGTAGGGAAACTGAAGTGGGGAAAGGAAGGAAATATTAGAATTAGGAGTTGATAGGCAAAGGAAGCGAGTCTGTGAAAGGAAACATTTCCATAAGTACACCTAAAAAACAACAAAACATTAAAGTTGTTTAACGGTACAAAAAAAAGGTATTCAGGATCAAAAAACAGTCTGGAAAAGTCTGACTACATATGGCATCCATCCATCCATCCACCCATCCATCCAAGCTCCCATGCATCCATCCATCATAGCTCTTATTTTTTATGTTTAAGGTCTGACCACTGTAAGAAGACTTGCCTGATCCTTAAAAAAGTTTTTCGGGTACAAAAACCAGGGAAAGGCTCATCCTATTAGCAGGTACAGATTGATCAACAATTTCAAAAATAGCCTTAACATTTCTGATGACAGAAATGTTCAAATTACTGGTCGGAGGATATGTAAATTATGTATTGTAAACAATTAACACCCACAAAACAATTAATCAAACCTGAATGAAGTGGTCGTGCCTACATTTAGCAAGTTTTGAAGTCAGATCACATGCAAACATTTCTGTAGTCTTTGGTAGCAACAAAGGCGGTAATGATAAAGGATGGGTAGTGAGTCTACATGTAAACATAAAACTGTCATAATAAACAATATTAGAATATTAGAATACAATATTAGAATAGCATTAGCAAAACATGTCTGCACTGGACAGATTAATGCTAAATAATGGAAGACAATAGTTTTCATTAAGTTAAACCAAACAAAAAAGAAAAACACCATAGCTGAAGTTAAGGTAAAATGTTTATTTTTTCCCCTTTACTGGGTTAGTACTAAGCACAATAACTTTGTTTAAATTATTAGCATACCTTGGATTGTGCTGTTTTCGGTTAACTAAAGAGTTATTGGAGGTAAAGATGAAGTTCACTTTAAACCTGACAGTGGCTGCTCTCAGGTATAATATAGGTCAAACTGTAAGTCATATGAGGTAACCAGGTTAAACTGACAATGATAAAGCTTTACATTTTTTTATTATTTTCATTACTTATACTTCTCATTATTACCTCTAACTCTACACCTTAGAACCTTTTTTAAGAGTAATTCTGCTTCCCCTGGCTGCCACTGACACAAGCAATTTCCTCACCTGTTTTCCCTTCCACACACATTTTATTGATCACCTGCAACACCTCTACTATTTGAAGATGCTTTTTTTTTTGCATCAGCAACACTTTTGGAGTGTGAAATAAAACTGAGCATAAATCCTTGGTATTTGAGGATGAAAGCATAGGGGAAAAGCAAAGGAAATAATGAAACACATAAAACCCAGGAGCAAAAAAATCCATTAAAGAACATGCCGACTGGGAGATAAAAATAAATGGAAAATTAAGTGATCAGAGCAAGAAAGAGAAAAGAGGATGACATTTGTGGATCAAGATGAGGAGGCTACTGTAAAAAGAACATAGTTAAGAAGAGGGTGGGTGGAGGTTTGTGAGCAGGAAGCTGGTGCGTAAGCTTTGGCCTGTGGGGATGGAATTTGCTGCGGTGTCCAGTGTTTTCCCTGGCTCTGAGAAGCCAGCCTTTCAAGGCCCCTTGACTTGGCAATGCTAGAGAAGGATGAAGAGAAAGTAATGGTAACCAACAGAGAATAGAATCAATACAGTATGTCCACTAGTGCAGCAGCTTGGTAAAAACGTATTCTCTGCCACCTTTTCAAAAAAAAACTAATATATCTGACAGGTTATTGGACACAACTGGGCCTCAGATACTGTTTGGACTGTGAAGTAAACTTTTTTTTCCATCTCAGATTATTTTTTCCCTTTAGGCAATGCAGCTATCATAAAATACTGGTATATTTATATTCTCAAAATAGGAAACAACTATATAGATATGTATAACTATACAACCTTATTGAAAAAACTAGGAAATTGTGATTTAAACTGCATTCCCATGTGAGAAAACATCAAAAACATTTATCCTCAAAGTGACTCACAGAGAAACACTGTCAAGTAGTTAATTGATAGCCAAACCCTTCTTCCTGCAGTTTTCGTCAAACATGGCAAGTCTCTCAATTTAGCTCTTTATCAGCTCCTCTGCTTTCCTGTTGATGTCTGAACTTGGTTCAGAGCAGCGGTGAGCATCTGAGCCCCCTTCCAAAGACAGAGGACAAGAACGCCCAACTCAGATTGCCTGTTTGGTGACACACCCCCAGGATCAGGGCCTCTGTAACTTCCCCTCTGTCCACAATGAAATCTAGACAAGCCCTTGCCCTTTTCCTGTATCCAAATAAACAGTCCATAAAGGGCTGTTTGGCAAGAACATGGACACATGCGTGTGAGCATGTGAGAGCAAGTGTGTGTGTTACATAAGCATGATTATGGGTCTATTAGAGCTGCTGTTCAGCTCTGGCTTCTTTTAGTTACAGTTCACTGACCTGTCAGCCCAAAGCGAACATGGGAATGAGACACAATGTTTCTGTTTGTCTGCTTTTTATGTCTGTTCTCCAACTGAGTTTCCCCATCTGTCCCCATGTATCTCCATCGTTGCATATACTTCACATTTTGTAAACATCATCATTGCATCCCCACATCATTGCTACTTATTCTACACAACAGTACAGCTATTCCTCAGCTTTGCTCAGGATTCTTCTAACCTTCACACTAGTTGAGAAATGCAGGTGTCTTAAAGTTTTGCTACTCTGCAGTACAGTTTTATTTGTGTAACTAGTTGAAAACATCTGAATATGAAGTCAAGAGAGTGGTTACTCTTTTATTCAAAAGTCTGACACCTAAATTGTTTCTGTATTGACCTTTAAATAGGATTTTTTTTCCCTTTGTATATTTAAACAGCTTAAATTTAAGCAATTGAACACATTTTCACTTTAATTTCTCCCCAAAACAATCACCTATAAATATTACAAATATTTTGCCACATTTTGCTTTGTGACACAACCATGAGTGTAATATATGGGATGAGCTTCCAGATATTAAGAGTAATTGGTTCAAAATAATGCTGATATCTTGTTTTCAAACCTTTCTGATTAACATTTCCACAATCAAAGATCCATTTAACAGACTAAGACACCTATATATACCGTTTATAGTTTCATTGTTTATGTATTTATTAAAATATAAAATTAAAAGAATTTTAGAACGGAATCAATTGAGCATATCTCTATTAACCCTCAGGTCCCCATCATTTTTTATTTATTGTAATCAAATTAAACATATTGTTCTCTCATGCTTTAGATTCCCAGCACATTACGCTCTCTTTATTAATTTTTTTATTTTACTTTTTCTATCATTTAGAAATGTGTTACCTATTAGCCCCAATTGAACTTCCAGAACACCTATCAAAATGACTGTGAAAAGAGCATTTTGGCAGCAACATTTATTAAAATTTTGGAAGCAATTTGATGTTTTCCTTTAATTTGTTCTTATCTTTTTGAATAATCCGTAAACTCTTATGTTCTCTGATTGCTTATGAGTTTTTCTTTGGGGATTTTTTTGTTTAAATGTATCTGTTTCTGTTTGTTGCAGGTGAACTCTATGTGTGTTCAAGCTCCCTCCAACGATCTGGTGAGTCCCTCATGCTAAACATGTTATTTTCCTCAAACAATGTGTGAGTAAGTTTTCCCACCCAGTCTATCCAGAGTTGGGAAGCATGGCTCTCTGTTTTGAGCTGTTCTCTGGGAAGCTAAGCAATCAGCTCAGTTGGAGCCTTTCCATTTCTGGAGGGAAGTTAAATTTCAGCTCGGGGGCGTGGAATAGTTGATGTTGTTGTAGGAAGTAGTTGTGTTTATCCATTAGGGAGTCTATTTGTTTAATTAACTCTGCTTTCCTTCCTCTGTTTTGCCTCTTGCTCTCTCCCCTTTTTTATATGTTGCCCCATTTTGTCTGCCTTTCCTTTATTCCTTGTCCCATCTCTCATTCCTATCTTCTCTATTTATCCCATCACCTTCTCTTCTCTGCTCCTAGCCGCGTAGAGGGACAGCTCCTTCTAGACACAACCAGCACATGGTGAGCACATTTTCCTTTCTGACTTCTCTATTTACTTAAATCTTGTCAGTAGCATCAATTCTGTAAAGGAAATATATCAAAATATGGTTGAGGAAAACAAACTGTAGTTGAAACCAGATGTTTGCATACACAGTAGAACAGGACAAATACAGCTTTTTTCTCACTCTCTGTCATTAATCAGGCTAAATGTTTTATCAGGTCAGAACATTTTACCAAAGCAATTTCAATTTGCCAAAAAAGCCAGGTTAAGGAGAGGTACCTTTTATTTCTTTTTAGAAGTTTAAGCATACTAAGCTACCTTAGTTACTTAGTGCCCTCAAATATTTTGGAAATGCAGGAAAGATCTGGGTATCACTTTGTGAGCTTCATTTACACATTACAAAAAAATAGCTTTCTTGATTCACTTTCAGTTGAATTATTTTCATTCATAAAGCTCCACTTAACAACACATGTCATCTAAAGACACTTTATAGAGAAAGTCAAGTCATCCAGACTCATTGGTTCTACGTTTTGTATCCAATGAGTCTTTGAATTTGCAGGATAAGGTCATTTTGGATGAACATGTGGTGACATAATGCTTGCATTATGTCAATGACTTTACAACAATCCTTATACAGAAGATACATACAGAAGAAAAAAACTCCCTTTTAACAGGAAAGAACCCTCCAGCTGAAGCAGTCTGAATGTGAGCGGCCTTCTACTGAAGCCGACAAGGGGTTCAAGAAGACACAAGCAGACACACAAAATGACATAACAGCACTGTTCCATTAAAAATTACATGTTAGAAAGATAACTATGAACTATCTCCATTGTTGACTTTTTTTTTTAGCAAAGAAACTGTTTAACAAATGTGCTTTGAGTTGGTTTTCAAGCAAAAAGGCTATTATAAATCTTGAGTTCGTAATAACAGGAGTGAGAAAGTCTGACCACATTATCTGAGCTGTTAAGTATAAAGGTGAAGATGGCATGTTGTCTGAGTATTTTGGTGTCATAATGAGGAGAAGTGGAAATATTGATGCAGGCTATACAATCAATTTGTTAAATTAGTGCTTGTCAGTTTATTATAATCCTTTATCATTAGTATAGACCGGTAGTAATTTTGAAAAATTACTATACCAGTGGTTAACTAACAAACTCAAACAGATTAAATACCTGAAGAGGAGCATCGCAATATGCCTAAGCAATGTTCTATCATTTTGTTAGAAATATTAGCTCTTCTAATTAGAACAGGTTCAAAAAGAAAACACTAACACTTCTGGAGGCGTTATTTATCTTTGTTGTATCAGAAAACACTTAAGAACATATTAGTGCTGCACAAAACATTGTAATGAGTTAGCAGACTCAGCTAAAGTGATGGATGTTTGTTCCAGCATCTAACTTAGAGTCACCTACATTGTGAATCTCATGCTAAGAAGGAGCAAATATGAGGTTTAAAAAAGGAAATAATGTTCAGCCAATTTTAGTCTGTTTACTGGTACTGTTCAACTGGTAGCATTAAAGGAACTATGAATTTATTAACCTTTTGGTATTTAATGCAAATGATGTTCATCGTGGCTTTTCTTAGATGTCTAGTTGTAATTTCTGCCTGAGAATACCTTTGTTCCATTTGTGGCATCAAATCTTATCCAAATCTGTAATGTAATCACTGATGATGTGAAAGACTGATGAAGAGGTCTTTTTTCTTTAACAGGGATCAACCAAGTCCCTAACCTACACAAAACAGAGGAACACCCTTCCAAGGTAAAATCTGTCTCTTTTATTAATTTAAATTTAATAAGGCACAGTATATCACAAACATGCCAACATATTTGGTAGTCTAAACTCTGACATGGCATTCAGTACTCCTAACCCAAACTGTGACCTTAATTTTGCAGAAGACCAATGACCTTCAGTTTGTTGTAAGATGAAGGTTTAATTTTGCCAAGCGATGCAGCTACTAAGTATGAATTTTGTTACACAGAGTTTCCAGTTTCTCATGTTCCCCTTTCTTCTCTACTGCTGTTGCCATCCATCCCGAAGGAGGTTTCATCAGACTCTCTGGTTTCAGGCTACAGAATGCAGTTTGGGATAGTGCCTCTATTTTTTTTTTCCCTTCAGAAGTTTCAGTTTTTCAGTTTGAATTTATCTGACAATGGGAAAATAATTTTAAAAGTAGTTTGACATAAGGAATATTAAAAAAAAAAAGGAATTTAATGATTGGATAAACATTTTTTGCATACAGTTTGGGAAAATTTAGAACATAACTCTATCAAAATGATGTTCCTTGGCCTAAATCTGTTTTTTTTTATTGTAGATTGTAGACTCTCAAACATAATAGCAGAATAGGAAATACAATCGTACCTTCACTTTTTTCTCCATTTACCAGGAGCTTCAGTGTGGACCGTGTGATGGAGCGCGTGATGGAGCGAAACTATGACTTCGACCTGACTTACATCACGGAGAGGATCATCTCCGTCTTCTTTCCTCCAAAGTTAGAAGAGCAAAGATACCGGCTCAACCTAAAGGAAGTGGCTGCCATGCTCAAATCCAAACATCAAGACAAGTTTCTGGTGAGGAAACGCATTCGCTTTCTTGTTAATTGAACTCAGTGTTTTTTAAACAGCAGCTGGATGGTAACCATTTTAATTCAGTTTATTGAGTCCAATTCAGTTTATTTATATTCACAACACATGTCATCTCAAGGCACTTTACAATTCAACCAGATCATACAGTCAAATTGATTAAAAGTTTTCTATCTAAGGAAACCCAGGTGATTGCATTGACTCATTGACTTGAAGCCAATCCCTCACACTAAGCATGCTTGTACCAACAGTGGAAAAACTCCCTTTAAACAGAAAGAAACCTCCAGTAGAACCAGACTCAGTGTGAGCGACCATCTGCCGATGCCAACTGGGGTTCAAGGAGACAGAAGCAGAGACACAGAAAGAAGAAGAGAGACATGGGGATAGGTGGGGAGTGGCGGCCTAGGGGTTAGGGTATAGAGCTTGGATTCCTAAGGTTCTGAGTTAGAGCCCCACTCCCACAGACTTGGGTCTCTGAGCAAGACCCTTAACCTCACACTACTCCCCGGGCGCCCCATGATGGCAGCCCACTGCTCCCCAAGGGGATGAGTTAAATGCAGAGGTAAATTTCCCCAATGTGAGATCAATAAAGTGTAATTATTGTTTTTACTACTATTATTTTTATTATACATACGGCATCTGTCAACCAGCTCCACAGGCGGCCCCGTCCATGAAACACACAGCCAGGCAGAAGAGCTCCGAGCTAGCCCCCATGACAGATAATGAAACAGAGCACATCCAGCTAGGCACTGTCTAGCTGAATGTGCTCAAAAAAGAGAAACAGGAGAACACGGAAAAAACGGGCTAGCTCAAACATCTTTAAAGAAAGGGGTTGTTGGCAGCAGCACAGCTGATATTTACCTACAGGATGGTGTCACAGTCAAGCAGGAACAGACCAGATGAAGCTGAATATACTGTATATACCTGGATATACTGTATATATATTGCAAACAAAAGTTTTAAACCTACCTTTTAAAGTAGACAGGGTGTCTGCCTCACGGACTAAAACTGGTAGTTGTTTCAATAGGAGAGAAGCCTGATAACTCCAAGATCTGCCTCCCATTCTACTTTTAGAAATTCTAGGAACCACCGGTAAACCTGCAAATTGAGAGATTGATATAAACAATCAAATCTCTTATGTTAGATGTAGCTTGGCCATTTAAGGCTTTATAAGTGAGAAGGAGGATTTTAAATTCTATTCTGGATTTAACAGGAAGCCAATTAAGAGAAGCCAGGATAAGAGAGATATCTCTTTTCAGTTTTCATCAGAACTCTGGCTTTGGATCTTTGGATCACCTGAAGGCTTTTAACTACAGTTTGTGGAGTTTCTGATAGTAACATAGTCCAGCCTTGAAGTAACAAATGCATGGACTAGTTACTCAGCATCACCCCTGGAAATGATATGTCTAATTTTTGGCAGATGAAAGAAGCAAATTCTAGAAACCTCTTTGATATGGGACTTAAATGACAGGTCCTGACAAAAAACACCAAGATTTTTTTTTACTTTATTATCTGAGATCAATTTAATCCAATGCAAATGAAGTGACTGACTAATCTTTTACTTCTTTTTCAAACACTCTGATCCAAAGACTATAATATCTGTTTTATCTGCATATAAGAGCAGAAAGTAAAGAGTCATCCAGGTTTTTATGTCTTCAAGACACGCCTGTAATCTATGTAATGGGTTAGCTTCATCTAGATTTCTAAAGCTGAGTATCATCAGCATAACAATGGAAATGAATCCCATGCTGTCTAATAACTCTACCGATTTGGAGCATATATATATAGTAAAGAGAATTGGTCCTAGGATTGATACCAGTCGTACTCCACAGGTAACCCTGGAGCGTAAGGACGATTTGTCATTAATGTTAACAAAATAAAATTGGTCAGATAGATAAGATTTAAACCAGTCTGGTGCTGTTCCTTTAATTCCTACAAAATATTCAAGTCTTTCTAAAATATTATGATCAACTGTATTAAATGCAGCACTGAGATCCAACGGGACGAGCACAGCTACAATTCCATTATCTGAGGCAATGAGAACATCATTAGCAACCTTCACCAGTGCTGTTTCAGTGCTATGATGAGTTATAAAGCAAGACTGAAACTTTTCAAAAGGTTAATTATGGTGTAAGTGGTCACGCACTTGTTTGGCAACTACTTTCTCAAGAATTTTAGAAAAGAAAGGAAGATTGGATATAGGTCTATAATTGGCCAAGTCATCTGGGTCAAGAGACGTATTCTTAAGTAAAGGTTTAATTACAGCAACCTTAAAAGCCTTTGTTACGTATCCCTGTTACAGGGATAGATTCATCACATCTTAAATAGAGGAGGAGATCAAACGTAATACTTCCTTAACCAAACCTGGCTGGAACTGGATCTAACATACCGTCACAAAGGGGGTGGTTTGACAGGACCCAAATGCAGACAAAAGCTTGAGGTGGTTACTAGAATGTTTTAATGACAAATGTTTAACAGAAGCAAAAATCCCCCAAAAAATAGATCTACTAAAATCCAAAAATGCTCAAAACTAGTGATGTTATGAGATGAGCCGAGGCTTCGAGGCGTGTGTCGACTAATGGAGGGGGCGTTTCCCCGAACCGCGTGTCGAGGTGTGATTCATTTAGGGGAGGGGCCAGAATTGATGACGTCCGAGGCCTCACTACCGTGATACCACATGACCGCTTCGCGAAGTATTTCGGGAAGCGGGAAATTTTGACAGGCATCTAAACAGCCTCAGTGTTCAGTCAAGATGTGGGAGTTTGGAGGATAGAGTTTGGATAGATTCTAAGAATAGATTGGTTGGAAAAACAACCAATCTAGTTGCTTAAAACTATTTTGGTGAAATTAAACAATGCAATGATCAAAATCTGAGCAAGCCACCGGACACAGTTGGTGTGAACACGTTAGTGTTAAATAGTATTTTCTCCATCAAACAATTAACAATATCAGTGGCGTCATCTGTACGACACGGACTCCCTCTCCTGAGGTTGATGGTTCAAGATCCACCTTTGGCTTTTGAAAGTTGCGATTATACTTAGTGATTTTGGCCAATGAGCCTTTGCATTGGTTTGCCCTAGTAAAAGTATAGATTGGGTATAAACGCTGCCAAATTAGGCCGCTTTAGCCAAAAGATTGGCTGAACTAAAACTTCCAACCCGATTAAAAACCAAAAAATGTGGAAAAACTATGTTTGAATAAAAATTACTAACACCTTTCGTTTTACTCATCGTTGCCCAATTTGCACAAACACTTTCACTGTCTAAATTTATTTCACTAAAATGGCAGAAAAATTGCACCTTAAATGAAAAAAGAAAAAAAAATCACATATTTTGTTACAAACTGTAGTTCTTCACCAACCAGTAGGTGGTGACATATTCACATGGAGCCTCATGAACTGTGGGGATCGTTGAAGCAATTTGGCCAAACGGTTCAATGCCTCATGAGGCTTCATCTCACCATCACTACTCAAAACCAAGAATACTCACAACAAGAAGGGGACAAAGGAATGACGACAAACCAGCACAGAGTGACTGAGCAGGAGGAGAATAAATGGGAGAGAGAAACAAAGACCAGGCTAATTAGCAGATTGGGAGCAGGAGTGAACAGAGGCAATGAGGGAGCTAAGAAAAGGAGACTGACACAAGAAGACAAACAGGAAATATCTAAAAACTCAAATACAATCAAAAATACCTAGAACACAAGTATGAAAAATAAGACCAATGAAAACTCAGAGATAAAACTTGAACAACACCAAAACCATGACACATACAAGTTGAAGGCTTAAATGAAGACAATAGTTTTGCTAACTTTGAAAGTTCAGCTGGATCAAAGCAGTTTAAACCCGGTTCAGATTCTATGGCTACCTCATATACTGCCTCACNGGTGGTTTGTTTTTTGGACTGTACATACCTGTTTTCTTTCTGCCTTCTCAATAATTCTAAGGAAATGTCCATTGGTTGATTTGTAATGTTAATGTTTTCCTACATTTTCTTCTGTTATTGGTGCGTTTTTATTGGTTATAAATATCTCTGTAGAGCTATTTTAGCTTTATTCCGTACCATATGTGCAATAAGATCCTTCTGATACACTGTAACTGTTTGATTTTGCACATTAGAAAAAGTAAAAAAATTATAATAGGAAAGCCTCATTTTAACTTTATCACTGATCACTGAAAATGAATAAGAATGAATGATTCTTCAGGTAAGGGTCCAAAATGACCAAGCAGGCTGCTACAAATAAAACTCAGAAAAATATTTGCAGAAACTAGTTTAAAACTATTTATCATAGTGTATTTTGTTACATCACAATACTTTAAAAGGCATGGAACATTGAAGTAATACTTACAGCTAGTAGTAACATCATACAGGTTGACTTAAAAAGAGATACATTTTTTCTTCCTGTAGCTTTATTTTGATTTGCATTCATGAATTGAATATGTTGGGTCCTATTCAGGAACAGTCCAGATCAGTTTATCCTGTGGTTTATGCCAGCTGTATCTTTTCCATGTACATTTGGAGCTCCATGATGGAAACTGTTAACCCACTACTGTATGTTTGTGTTTGCAGAGCGGACCAGGCTCTCACTACTCTTGCCATGAGGAAGTTCTGTGAAGATAAGGTGTCCTCTTCCCTCCAGCCATCCCAAAACAGGTAGAGGCTTCAAAGGAAATAAGTTGGAAGGATGTAGAAGAGGGGTTGGTGTCCAACATCATGTTTAAGATTACTGAACTGGATTGGCTTACATAATATTGTGTGATTTTTCATTGATATTAATCAATAGGGTTAGAGTATTTCCATAAAAATTCAAAAAATGAGGGAGCTAAGAAAAGGAGACTGACACAAGAAGACAAACAGGAAATATCTAAAAACTCAAATACAATCATAATGAGGAGAAATATGCTGTTCTGGCTTTACAAAGGGTTCTCTTATACAGCAGTAAACTACTTTTCCACACTGAGTAAGATTCCCAGTAACATGTAGAGTGCCATTTTTATCCAGTGTATAGCATTTTACTTCAGAGTGCACAGTTCTGCATTAAACCAGGGAGCCAGCTTTTTATTTTTAAAGTTTTTCCTTTTCAAAGAGGCTGCATTGTCTAAGGCAGTACACAGAGAACTAGAAAAATCTAAACTATTCACATATTGAATAAAGCCAATAGTATTTAAGATAGCTTTAAAGGCTGCACTTAAGCTATCACCTTCAATGTCAGGATGAATCTTAAAATCCCCCACTACTATGACCCTGTAAGACAAAGTATTTATACTTTAACTGCAAACAGCATGGCAAAGAAGACAGTTCTTTTCAGTTTTCTCTATGCCACTTACTTGAATTCTACTTTGTTAATTCTAATAGTATCAATGAGCATGACTTACTTCTTTTTTAACAAAAAAACTTGTCTAAACTTTGGTTTAGCCTCCTACATCTACCCAGCAAATAAAAATACGGGAAAAGAAAAGATGAACAGTTCGCTCCATTTGTGAACTTTGAATTCATAAATATTAGTGGATTTAGGTATTCTAAGATATGTCATCTGTCATATTAGCTGGAGAATTTACTTTTCTTACAGAAATCCTTGATGTAGCTGATTGCAAAATAGAGCTTGACATTTAAACTGTAGCCACAACAGATTAAAAACACACATAAAACTACCAATAAATATGCCCCTGCATTTTCTTTGACTCCTCTGTTACAGCTCTTGAATCTCTCCGAAAGACGCCATGACATCACCCGACTAAATCCTAAGGTAGAACTTTTCTTCTTGCCTTGCTGCTCATGTGTCACTGATAACTTGATCTCCCCCACCCCCCTTTTTAACCATCTCAGCCCCGTATGTCATTGCTATCCTGTCTCATCAAACAACAGGTCCACGACTTCGGCTGGCCTGACCTCCATGCCCCTCCACTGGATAAGATCTGTGCCATATGCAAGGCCATGGAGAACTGGCTAACCTCTGACCCCCAGCACGTGGTGGTCCTACACTGCAAGGTCAGGGTGCAAGGGGCCACCAGGCAGACAGGAAAAGATTTTTTCACAACACCGATGTAGAGCCCTGATTTGAAGAGTTTTTGCGGTGATTTGGTTGCACAGTATTAAATGAATTAATGTTGTTGTAAGAGATTGAATTAAGGTTACATGAAATATACATTTGTAACAAAATAATAAAAATTTAATTAAACTTAGGTTCCATTTAGTCAATTTATCTTTCTATGAAGATTGTTTAAAATTGGAATTATTTCTTCTTCGGTTTCCTGTATTTCTCGAAAGTTTAGTTCAGATTTATTGCAGGAAAATCTATTGCAGTCCTGGAAAGTTGAGCTTGTTTAAATGTAAATGAATCTTCTGACATATCGAAGTTGCAAATAAAGCTTCCAATATGCAAATATTTGATTAGATCTTGGCTAAATTTAGGGCCGTTTGTTCCAGCTTAACAATATCTGAGATGCCACGTTGAGGGACATTGGTTGGACCAGCATCAGTCCCTCTCCTTAGCTGTTCTGAGTGGGAGTCCACTGGGATTTGAAATCTTCTTTCTGCAAGACTTAACAACAACAAAAATTTCATCTGATGTATTTTCATATATGATAATTTCATGTCTTTTCTTATAGGCTCAATGTCTAATTTTAGTCATAAATGGAAGTTGCATGTATGAAAGTAGGAGGTAACTTTAAAAGATAAGTCAGGGATGTCTGGGAACAGATAGGGAAATTCCTAAAATTGTTGACTTATTTGGGGCTTTGGTGGAGATTATGGCTACTGGATTTCTCATCTTCTGTTTTTCCTGTGCTTTCAGTAGATTTGTGGAGAATTGGCCTTAATTAAGCAATTTAAACAATTAGCCTTAAATTGTGATTCTGCTACACACTTAGAAAACAGCTAAAAATCGAAGTTATGTAGTCTTTGTAGTTATCGAATAACAGTAAGGCAACAGTAAAGTTCATCAATAAAACTTAATCTCTGATCACGAATCCTGGTGTAAGCATTTTTTAATTTGACAGCATTTTAGCTTAAATTAGCTTAAAGTCAAATTTCTCAAAAATGTTAAATATTTTCTAAGAATTATAACTTAAGGTTTTGTCATTACCAAGGACCAATTCATACCTGTGCAAATGACTGAACTCCTGTGATTTGTTGTATTTGTTGATTTTGGTCTGAAGAATTTAAAAAGTAAAAACCAGACAACTCCTGGGCCCTGCCAACTTTCCAGGACATTCCAGCTGCAGGAAATTATCTTCCAGCTGCAGATCATGCCATGAATCTGGAAAATTAGTTGCTGTCAATGACAAGTCTTCCAGCAGGAGAACCACGCAACGATACAAGCTTTAATTTGTGCTTGTTGTGTTAAAGAGGCCCTTTACGATTTTCTGGAGGGGTTCCCAATTGGAATTTAGAGCTGGAATATTTCTGGAATGTGTCAGGAAGGGTTGAGCTTTCGTTTTGACATTGCAGAAAGCTTTTTAAGTTCAATTTAGCAGCTTATGCATATACTATATCTTACATACTCTTATACTTATACTTATATGTACTTACTTATATGTATCTGCTTATTTTTAAATATTAAAAAAAAATGTAAAATCAAGCTCGTAGGTCAGACTTTACGATCCTATAAAATGATTTGATCAGAAGAAGTTAAACTGTCTTTCGAAAAGATCAGTCCAGGATTTATCAAATATTTCTCCCACTTTTTTCCACAGGGCAACAAAGGGAAAACAGGCGTGATTATTGCAGCCTACATGCACTACAGCAAGATCTCTGCAGGGTGAGTTTATGGAGATGGCATGCAAGCTGGATTTTAGTCTCATCAGATCATCCATGCTTTGCAATTACTCAATGTCAATGGGATCCATTACAGTGGCTCTCAAACATATACACTCTCCTGAGACAACAACAACTAATTTCACAACCTTTGAGGTGACTTATTATTTTACAGTTCAGGTAAAACAGTAAGTCTGTTGGAGATGAAAAAACTGATGACTAAAAAGGGTTTATAACCTATTTGCAAAAGTATGTACACCCCTTTACTATTGTTTTGTGGAAGCCGGTTATGATTTAGTCTTCTTTTGGAGAAAGGCGTCAGCCTCCAATGGCATGAATTGGTAATTTATGCTGACTGAAACTTTTTGAGACTGTGAGGAACTTCTCTTGCCCATCTTCAAGGCATCATACAAATCCATCTAATATATTTTCTGGACCCCACTATCAGCGGCGACATTTTTATTATTTTATTTTTTTATAGAAACTTTTGCTTCCCATCCAGGAACCTTTTTTTAATTCAAATGTCAGAAATAACATTGAGTTGCTTTACACAGTAGCCCAACAAAGTTGTTTTCGCCTAGACAACATGCAAAAGCATTGATGGGAAGCACAGTCTTGAAACCTTAGATTCAAAGTCTGGTGGTTTGTTTTTTGGACTGTACATACCTGTTTTCTTTCTGCCTTCTCAATAATTCTAAGGAAATGTCCATTGGTTGATTTGTAATGTTAATGTTTTCCTACATTTTCTTCTGTTATTGGTGCGTTTTTATTGGTTATAAATATCTCTGTAGAGCTATTTTAGCTTTATTCCGTACCATATGTGCAATAAGATCCTTCTGATACACTGTAACTGTTTGATTTTGCACATTAGAAAAAGTAAAAAAATTATAATAGGAAAGCCTCATTTTAACTTTATCACTGATCACTGAAAATGAATAAGAATGAATGATTCTTCAGGTAAGGGTCCAAAATGACCAAGCAGGCTGCTACAAATAAAACTCAGAAAAATATTTGCAGAAACTAGTTTAAAACTATTTATCATAGTGTATTTTGTTACATCACAATACTTCAAAAGGCATGGTACATTGAAGTAATACTTACAGCTAGTAGTAACATCATACAGGTTGACTTAAAAAGAGATACATTTTTTCTTCCTGTAGCTTTATTTTGATTTGCATTCATGAATTGAATATGTTGGGTCCTATTCAGGAACAGTCCAGATCAGTTTATCCTGTGGTTTATGCCAGCTGTATCTTTTCCATGTACATTTGGAGCTCCATGATGGAAACTGTTAACCCACTACTGTATGTTTGTGTTTGCAGAGCGGACCAGGCTCTCACTACTCTTGCCATGAGGAAGTTCTGTGAAGATAAGGTGTCCTCTTCCCTCCAGCCATCCCAAAACAGGTAGAGGCTTCAAAGGAAATAAGTTGGAAGGATGTAGAAGAGGGGTTGGTGTCCAACATCATGTTTAAGATTACTGAACTGGATTGGCTTACATAATATTGTGTGATTTTTCATTGATATTAATCAATAGGGTTAGAGTATTTCCATAAAAATTCAGACAGGTTGCAGGTATTACAGGAGACAATCCCCCCTTACATTTGAATTAATTACACTTTGTTATATAAAGGAGTTTAGTGACCTCAAGTAACCCAGGTTTTGTGAGTGTAAAAAAAATGCTAAGCATGGTTTTCTAAAATGCAATGCCATTTATACTTTCAAGTCTCATAATATTAGAGCCACACCTATAGACATGGACCCAGATTCATATCTTCATATATAGTTTCGTATAGCCTTCATCTAAAGTATTTTGTTCCAATCAAAGATATACAACTTTCCCCACAGCATGATAGGTATAGTGTTTACACATACTTTACGGCTAAGCTGACTCCAGTACATACTGGAACCTACAGTGTATGTAGTAGACATCAGACTCTTGGCCATATTTTATATTTTTGTAGAGGAAATATTTTTATGCCAGTATTTTCTGTCCGGTAATTTTTCTTTAATGGCCTTCAAGATTTATTAACTAGGAATTATCTAACTGAGGTCTGTAGGGTCTGAGATAGAGCTCTTGGGTATTTTTGGGGTAGTTTTCCAAAATTCTGCTGGGCGATTGGATCGTAGTAACACACATGCACACTCCAAACCAGCAAATGGTAAAAACACCTGCTTTTATAATGTGGGGGGAAAAGTATCTATTCAGCTATTGATTATGCAACTTCTCCTACTTAGAAAGATGAGAGGCCTGTATTTTTGTCATAGATGCACGTCAACTATAAGGGATAAAATGAGAAGGAAAAATCCAGGACATCAAGTAATTGGTCAAAAACAAAAGTTTTACATAATACTTTGCAGCATAACCTTTGTTTGCCAATGTCAGAGGTCAAACATTTCCTTTTTGTGTTCACCAGGTTAACAAAAACTGCAGCTGCTATTTTGTTCCACTTCTCCATGCAGATTTTCTCCAGAAGTGTAATGCTTTGGATGTCAGGGTTCCTGTGTGTGTGTGTGTGTGTGTGTGAGAGAGTTATGCATCTTTTCCAGGGTAGAGAACCTGGGTAGTCTACACAGGCGATCTCATTACTCTCCTTAGAGGGCTTGGCTTTAAAAGAGCAGCAGAGCCTTCACTCAGAGCTGGTTTCTCCACGTCCTCATCTCTTGCTTCCTTCGAGTATTTTCCCTGACTTTTTTGGATTTTGTTTGGTTTTCAGTATTTTTGTATTTTTTTTCTGGATTTTTGCCTCAGTTGCCTGTTAGTCTTTATAAATCAGCAAAACTCACCTCTGCCTCCTCTTCTCTGCGTTTGGGTCCTCAAAGCCTCCACCCAACCTGACAGAAGAAACCAGCCATAATGGACCCAGCAGAAAAGGCAAGTGAAGTTTTAAGACTCTTAAGAGAAACATTTGATGCCCTACCCACAATCAGTCCACTTTGGAGGCAGGGAAGTTTCACCGAAGTAGCAAAGAGGGCATTACAGACTCATCCAGAACTCCACATTTTTTTTCTTTAGACAGTTACATAGCTTTGCCTGAGTGGAACTTACAGGCTACCATCGCTCAGCTCCTTAACAGATCTCCACCACCCAAACCTTCACTCTGTTTACCTGCTTCCCAGCTTCTGATCCCCAAGACTTACTTCGGCTTCCAAGCGCAGGCATTGCCGCCGGCAGAAAAATACTACGGCTTGTCCAGGGGGGCAGTCTGACGCCGCCGCACTCACTCTCCAGTGGGTCGGTCTGACGTGGCCACTCACTCTCGAGCAGGTTGGTCTGATGCGGCCACTCACTCCTGCACGGGTCGGTCTGACACCGTAGCTTCATCCCCATCGGGTCGGTCTGATGCTGCCGATCCCTCTCCTATAGGTCAGCCGGCTGCTAGCCTTACACTGGCCCCAAGCCAGGTCAGTTTCCTCTGTGGTCTCAGCCGCCACCTTCATGACTCCTATCTGTCCCCACCCCTAAGGACTATTAAAAATTCAATTGGCCCCACACAGTCTCAAATCATAATATCAGAGCACCCACAGCCAACCAGTCTTTCCTGAGCCAGAGCTGTTAAGTGTGCCAGTTTTCAATTCAGAGCCCTTTAGCGGGCCAGTTCCGAAGCCAGAGACCCCTGAGCACACTCTGTGCAGTCCAGAAACCCCTGAACCCCCAGAGACGCTGGTCTCGACTGTTCCTGTGGCAGAGACGTTGTCCTCCAAGATTCCTGCGGCAGATGCGCTGTCTTTCAATGTTCCTGCGGCAGAGACGGCGTCCTCCAAGTTTCCTGAGGCAGAGACGCCATCCTCCAGAGGTTCTCCTTTGTCGCAATCCCCCAGAGGTCCTCCTTCGCCGCTGTCTTCCTTCCTCGCCGTTCTCATGGCCCCCCTCCTGAGGCTCTCCTTTGCCGGCATCCTCATGAGACCCTCATGAGGCTTTCGGCCTCCTCGAGCTCTGCATTACCCGGCCTCACAGTCGGCCTCTGGAGACTCTTCATCTCCGGCCTCACGGCTGACCTCCATAGACTTCGTCATTACCCATCTTTGGTGGTTATTGTTTTTGGCATCTGGGTTGGGTTTTTGTTTCTTGCCATCCTTTCTGGGCCCTCATCCCCCCACACTGAGTGTGTTGTTTTGTGTTTTTTTTCTTTTTTTTTCTTGGGGTTTATTATTGTACTCTAAGGGCGTCTGGTATCCACCCTTAAGGGGGGGTACTGTCAGGGTTCCCGTGTGTGTGTGTGTGTGTGTGTGTGTCAGTGAGAGTTATCCATTCTTTTCAGAGTGTATTTTTGGGAAGAACTTTTGGATTTTGTTCAGTTTTCAGTATTTTTTTTTTTTCAGGTTTTTTTTCCGACTCAGTTGCCTGTAAGACTAAATCAGCAAAACTCACCTCTGCCTCCTTTTCTCTGCGTTTGGGTCCTCAAGGCCTCCACCCAACCTGACAATGGAGCTGTTACTGATGGAAGTCGGTTTTGACTTATAATCTCAAATACATGGTCATGCTCATTCCCCCCTTAAAAGGGATCAGTCATTCCCTTTGTAGAAAGAACACCCCCAAATCATAATGTTTCCACCCTCATGCTTCACAGTAGGTATGTGTTCTTAGGAGGCAACTCGGCATTCCTTCCAAGCACAAGTTGCATTTTTGCCAAAACTTATTTTGGTTTTATATGATCACATGATATTCTCCCAGTCCACTGTTGGATCATATACTCTCTAGCAAACCTTAGACATGCCTAGACATGTACTGTCTTCAGCAGGGGGACGCTGCACGATTTGAGTCCCTCTGAATTTCTGATGGTACCCTTTGTTACTTTGGTCCCAGCCCTCTGCAGGTCATTCATCAGGTCCCTCTGTGTAGTTTTGGGATTTTTGCTCACGAGTCATTTTGACCCTGGGGGCCCAAGACTGAGGAAGATGGACTTGTATTTCTTCAGTTTTCTTCCAGTTTCTCCCACCATTGATTTATTCACACCAGCCTGCCTACCTACTGTAGATTCACTCTTCCCAGCTTATTGCAGATCAAGAATTTTCTTCCTGGTTTCTTTCAACAGCCCTTTGGTCTTGTTTGAGGTTGCAGAGGTGTCTTTTATATTGATAACCCTTCTTGCTTGTTTGTGGGTGACCACGTGCTCATTTTTACCATAATTTACAAATAAATAATCCTGCACAGTGATACTTTGATTTTCTTTACTCAGTAGTCTCTTGTGTTTTTATTGAACCTATGGTGAAAATGATAGACCTCTGTCATTTTCTAAGTAGGACAACTTGCAGTCAGTACTTGACTAAATACGTTTTGCCCCACAATAGAAGTAGTCACATCTGCTTTACTGAAGTAATACCTGCTTTCTACCTTCTGTCCAAAATACAATGAAAGTAGAAAAATGTGTACTTAGTGTACTTTTCCATCTACTGTAGCCCAGTAATAGTTAAGACATTTACACAAACTGTTTTCTTTCCTGCATAACCTTTAAATAATAAACATTACAATGCCTGTTTTGTTTTTGGTTTTGTGTTTTTTCAAGCTTTATCTCTCTGCAATAAGAACCATTCCTACATTTATGTTTGTTTCAGGTATATCTATTACTTTGGAGGCCTTCTCTCTGGGGCAATAAAGATGAACAGCAGCCCTCTCTTCCTGCATCAAGTCCTCATCCCATCACTACCTAACTTCCAGGGTGAAGGAGGTACTTTATTTATTTATGTGAAGCCAAATCTTTATAATTTTTTTTTTAACCAAGTGGAGTACAATATTCAAGCTCTCAGCCTCTGGTTCTGAGAAAACAGGGAGATGAACTGTAATGTTTCATGCCTCTGATATGGGTAAGTAACCCAAGCATCAAGATCTGATGTGTATTCATGCTCAATTATTGTAAGGATACTATTAATGGGACCAAGTTGTGTGGTCTAAATGAGGAGTAATATAAAAATAAAACCTATAAGGGACATGATCTTTGTCTTGGGAAAGTCCCCAGACAGGCTTCCTACTGGAATCACACAAGTGTTTTTGACTGCAGATACCACAGACGGTTGAATTCACTCTCTACCCACACACATGCCAGCCTGTTTGTCTTTAATCTTATGATCAGTCCCAGAAGTCAGCGCATTCCTCTGTCCTGACGTTGATTATGCGCACTAAGTCTAAAACCATCTCTCCTCTTCCTAGGTTACCACCCCTTCTTGAAGATTTATCAGTCCATGCAGTTGGTCTACACTTCAGGCATATAGTGAGTCTGCCATCCTCTTAAAAGGCCAGATAGAGTGGGATGTCATTTTTGACGTCTCATTAGTTCGAAAGTTAAATATCAATATTGGTGTTGCTTACATTGTTTGCCTTGTGAAGGACTTATTCCTGAAGCTGTTGTTGTTCACAGTGACCTTCAAGGCACAGGGGGGAGGCGGCTGTGTGTGACCATCGAACCAGCTTTGTTGCTAAAAGGTGACATCATGGTGAGTCACATGTGAAGGAAATTCCAACTTAAGTCTCTAATCTCTAATCTACTGCAATGGGGGCTAAATGAAATATAGCGTTGGGATCAGACATAAAGACTATCAAAAAGAAAAGATATATATACCTCACATTCTGCCAAAATGACTCACATTCTGCCAAAATGCCAAAATGACTGAACTGTTTCATGTTTTTTTCTTATTACAGTCACAAACCTATGCATAGTTTTCAGAAGTCGTTACATATAGACATTTGAATACTGGATCGAGCTTTCAGTTAAGCCCTAAATTATTAATAGTCCTACAAGATTTAGGTGTAAGGTCATTATTAAAGGCTTTAATTTTGAGTTAACTGAACACATTACACTGGAGGTCTTCAACAGGGGTTCCGCAACCCGTAGGGGGTCCACTGAGGTACTGCATGGGGGTCGTGAAAGTTCTGGTTGTTTAGATTTTTTTTTTATATTTCAATTTTTCCCACTAATTGAAATGTCTTTAAATACACATTAACATGAATTCAACACACTATAGTAAACAGATAGGCAGAAAATGTCTTTCAGTCATAAATGCAAACATTCAGCGACACACAGGAGCTCTTTTAAGCTGGACACCGTTTAATTCACAACACCTGTTCCATCAACCAGGAACCAGAATCTGAAATACTTTAATAATCCCAGCGCAAATTTACTTTTGTTACATGACTCCATCTGTAATAGAGTGACTATAGGACCAGTTTGATATAACACAATTTCATACAATATATATAATTAGGCGGTCCCCGCTCCATCTCTTCATCAGTTTGGGGGTCCTTGGCCTGGAAAACGTTGAAGACCTCTGCATTAAACCTATTAATATGATTTTAAAAAGGTTAGCCTTCATTCAATTTGTGTGTTATTTCTTTGCAGCTTTTACCAGGTTTTCTTCCAAAAAAGCTGTGCTATGTCGCCTCATTAATATTAACTTCAACAATGTCCAGCTTTATTCTTACTGTAAAAGAAATACCCACAGCGAGGCAGCCAACAACATTTCACTGGTGTGTTTAAAGGGATGTGCATTGTGCAACAATTTCTTCCACATGCTTGTTTTTGATTTTTCTTGAGTTGTGAAGGCAACAAGTTAAAGTGGAATCGTAGTTAGGGTCATGACAGTTAAAGTGGACAAGATAAAAATTAACACTGATCTGTTTCATTTTTCAGAAATGTTACTTATAAACAGAACAATTATGTGCTGTTTATTGTTTGTTTAATTTAAATCCATACAAAACAGAATTAAGTTTGAGGCTGTAATCTGATAAAAAAAAAAAACTGGATTCTGTTGAACAGGTGTAAATATTTTTACATACAATTTTTTTTTTTTTTTATCTGTTTCTTAACCAGAAACCATAATCTGTCAGTGTGTCCAGTCAGTCTTTTCAAAGTGTAGGTGTCTCTCTCCAGGGAATACAAGGCTTCATATTAACTTCACTGGCCTGCAATTACCCCACAACTGCTTCACTCTGCTTTTTTTCTGTTCCTCACCTCCTGCTGCCATCTTCAGGTGAAATGCTATCATAGGCGACTGCACAGTACGGACAGAGACACAGTGTTCAGGCTGCAGTTCCACACCTGCACCTTCCATGGATCCCAGCTGTGGTTTGGAAAAGGGGAACTGGATGAAGCTTTTACTGGTGGGTTCATCAACTTGGTAGATACAGCTGACAGGAGCTTAGGAATTATAGACAGTTGAAATGTGTGGAGGCTGTTAATGAACATGAATCATTGAATTAACAAATATGATTGTATTGATCAGAACCTATTCTTTTTAACTAAGTCTTAAATATAGATTTGGATGCACTTTGTTCTGTATTTTTTCTTGAGTTACACAAACAAAAGGGCCTTCTAATAAAATAGTCATAATGAATAGTTAATCATATTTCCAAAGTTTGTTCTTCAACTTTGTTTATTTTTTACTAAGTAGAATATATATGCATACAATTTATCTTCAAAAAATTATAAATATTTTTCTTGCAAATAGGAAATAAAAGGTGTTAATCAAATTGCTTGATTATAAAGGTATATAAGTCTAATCCATCATATCAAAAAAATGTTGAGGAACAATTAATTATTACTGAAAAAGTATTGTTATTCCCTAAATACCTGATTTCTTTGCACAGTTTTACTGTAGATTTTCATTTCTGCATGACAGACTGACTTAACAGCAGTTTATAAAACTGCCGTTTTGGGAAAATCTTTGCACTGGTTCAGCTTTGTGGTTGAATAAATCCTTAAATACTGGTGGTTTGATTGCCATACTGTAAGTAATAACAGCTCCCCAGAGTAGAATATAGGGAGATTTAGTTGTGATGGTATTCGGTCGGTGGACATGCATTACTTAAGTCTATAATGAATGTCCTCATTACTTCAGCTCTTCCCTAGTTTCACTTTCTCTGAAGTAACAGATCACGTGTGTATAGGAACATTGTGTTTTTCATTCCTAAAATGAAATGAAGCACTATAGATGTTGTGAAGTATATGATCATCAGTCATGCACTTCAAAATGCATGGTGGACTAAGTGTTGGAGTTTTCCAGGGTTTGACAACATGCTAAATACCACTTATACAACACTCATATAGCTAAATACAATATGAATATTTTTACCTTAAAAAAACAGAATTATTTTTTTCATTGCTAGACTAAAGACTCTAAGATTTTTTTCACTCTTAATATACTTCTTGTACATTTATCCTCAGATGAACGTTTTCCATCCGATGCCACTGTAGAGTTTGTCTTCTCTTCAGGACCTGAGCGAGTCAAAGGTTGGTCTGCCTTACTTAAGATTTTGCATCAGTACTGGACATGAATGTTTTTTCATTGATTTCAAGAAAAAAAAAAAAATCTAAAACCAAAGGCATGCTTTTTTTTCCACAGGCCGTGAATACCACAAAAACGACCCAGCAGTCACTGTGGACTACAACACATCTGACCCGGTGGTTCGTTGGGACTCCTATGAGAACTTCAACCAGCGGTATCAGGACAGTCTGGAGGGTAAGTTCACTGAATGCTGTTGTAAATCAGTTATATACACTACTATGAGTAATTTATTTTACAGATGATGTGGGTCTGTTGGGCTCTTCATGCCCTGGTAATCACTGTGTACTGATCATATCAAATAAAAGAGTCAGCTCCTCGAAGATTGAAGGAGTGATCCTAGCAGTGGCGATTTCTCATTTAATATCAGGGAGGCTAAACCTCCCCTGTAAATGTCATGAATTTAATTGATAAAATATGCATTGTCAAACTTTTTAAATGTAGCTATTAAAATACATTAAATATGCGGTAAAATGCTAAGAATTTCATGAGTATATTGCACATTAATTAATGATTTATTCCGCTCTCGGATGCAATCTCTCCTCCACTCTGGAGCAGCAGGACCCTTTGTCATTCTCTATGACAAATCCCTGCTGAGGTTTGAGTCTGTTGAGGTAAGCATTGAGAAAAAAGAGCCCTGATTTGATAACACGCCAAAACAGATCACTTCCAGTGAGGCTAAACCTCCTAGGGGGTCTATGGAGCAGGCGCGGGTCATGAGGCTAGCTGTTTGATGCTGATTGGCAAACATACTTAAGGATGTTTGACTGACAGTGGAGTTTTTTTTTTCCTGAGTCAAGAAGGAGAAATGATTATTCAGTCAGAACAGTCATCTTGTGCTGAACTCTTGCCGTGGTTTCTGAAGTTTATTATTTTTTTAACAGCACTTCACAACAGCTATTTTTAGTCATGTGTTTTATGTGTCTCAACATTTGTATACGCAATAGGTGACATTTGGATTTCATTAACACCATTGAACCTCCCCTGTTTCAGAGAGCAGCAGCCACCAATGGGTTTTGTTAATCTTGATTGATTGATTGGCTTTTTATCTCACAGTGGAGAAATTAACTTGTTACATCAGTTCAAATAGGCAAAGAAGAAGAATGTGCAAAAGGAAGAAAAAGGTTCATGAGACATATAATTTCAATTCAATTCAGTTTATTTATATAGCGCCAAATTCACAACACATGCCATCTCAAGGCACTTTACAATTCAACCAGATCATACAATCAAACTGATACAAAGTTTTCTATCTAAGGAAGACCAGTTGATTGCTTTGACTCATTGACTCAAATACAATCCCTCACACTAAGCATGCTTGTAGCGACAGTGGAAAAGAAAAACTCCCTTTTAACAGGAAGAAACCTCCAGCAGAACCAGGCTCAGTGTGAGCGGCCATCTGCTGAGGCCGACTGGGGTTAAGGAGACAGAAGCAGAGACACAAAAAGCAGCTGTAAAAGGTGGACCCGTCCAGGAAACACACAGCCAGGCCGACGAGCTTTGAGCCAGCTCCCATGCCAGAGGACGAAGAGAACACATCCACCCAGTCACGGTCAGAGAAACAGGACCACAATGGAAATCAGCCCGATCTCCAGCATCTATAAACAAGGGTGTTGATGGGAGCAGCACAGCTGATGTTTCTCTCCAGGATGGTGTCACAGCCAAACAGGAACAGACGAGGCAAAGCTACTCTGAGGAAAAGCAGAGAGAGCAGAACGTTAGAGATTGTATATACAGTATATACAGCGGGTCCACATATGACAGCTTATTGTTATTATATTTTTTTCATAGTAGAATCATTATACCGGTTTATTGCACAGGGTGGATAGATTTATATATATAGTTATTGCACTGGGTGTCAAATATAGAGAAACGGTTATTGCAAATGGTAAATTGCACATCTTGTTTGCAAAGTGGTAGCAGGAGATGCAGTGATTAATTGGTTACAGTAATGCTACAGTGGTCCTTCACAGCGGGGGAGGAAAACAAACCTAATAAGTTACCTCCTGATGATCAACCTCTAAGTTTATGTTCTCATCTGTACCTTTGGTCATAAAATGATAAGGTTTTGACTTGGAGTGTGTTCAGGAGGATGAACCTCCATTCTGCTTAGATACATCAGTGCCCCAAATACAGTTTGCCCTGTGTGAGCCAAAAGAATTGATAAAGACTTCTGGATATGAGTCGAAACGTAGTCCGGTTGCCTTCCAGTTCAAGCCTGTTTGTGGTTTAAAACCACAATTTTTTCACATGCAAATTAGTTTATTGAGGTGGTTCAGAATCCTTTTTGTTTTGAAGTTCCTAGAGTCTTTTTTTCACAAAGAGAAGAACCCAGGCCGGCCTGAAATGTATTGTGAGAACTATATATCCCTTCTGATATTGAAATGCCTTGGTATTCCCTAAAACGAGTAGGAGATATTGGCTATTGAAAGGGTTTGCTACCTTCCAGGACTGAGTCTGGATGGCCGAAATGATGGGTGGAGAAATTACATTGACTTTAAGCTAAGATGTCTTTTTGTTTTTAATGTTGTTTCAGATATTGGCCATACCCGAGGTCCTTTGGATGGGAGTCTATATGCTCAGATAAAGAAGCGCCGGGGACCCAGCTCTGGTTCTCTGACGTCAACCAATGGCAGCAGCCCAGGTGGGGCCCCTGCAGAAGACAGACCCGATCATCTGATCCCTCAAGGTTCTGACTCCGGTCTTTCAGCTCATTCCCTCCACTTGAACCAATCATCTATTCATTCTGACCACCCAGAGGAACCTGTTCGTCCCCCTCCCCCTACCAGACAGGAAAGAGAGGACCTGGATCGTCTTCTTGGTGGGATTGAGGGAAACCAAGATGGTGAGCGAGAGACCGCCATTTTAGATGATGGAGATTCCTGGCCCCCGGAGAGAACTGGGACACTGAGGCTCAGTCGGTCATGTTCTTGTAGGGATGGTTACAGGTCTCAGCGCTGCGCTGAACCGGGTTGTGACCGCACCCTCCTCATGCCAAATGGCTACTGCCTCGATCGAGCTCCCGGCACTAACGGGCACCTTGGGTCAACCCCTTCCACCAGTCCAAACCCAGCCGGTCCTCCATCACACATGGATATGTGTCAGCATTACAGCCAACAGACCCACCAAGCTCTTCCCCCACCAGATCTAGTGTGGGACCGACAGAGCGGCGCACCTCACTGCTTACACCGTTCCTGTTCTGAGGCCCCTTTACCTCGACATATCTGTCCATACCCATCTCCAGACCTGACCCCTCATTCTCATAATGCTTCTCACCACCATCCATTATCTCCTGCTAGTCGACTTTGCTGTCGTGAAGATGTCCCCTTCCATCATCCTCCCTCTCACAGTCTCCACCACACGCACCCAAACCACCCAAAGCCCTCCACCAGCCCCACTTACCATGATATAATGTTGATGGATAACTTACCGCCCCTGGGCTGTCCTTGTAGGGACTGCAGCATTAGGAGAGAAGATTCAGCAGCCTACCATACTTTGAGGATAGACCGTGGTGACAGCTTTCACTGGGACAGAGAGGCAGATATCCAACAGCGAGAGGCAAGACTGAGAAGAGCCAGGGAGACGGAATTAACCAGAGGACCAGAGCTTCCCTGGGAAAGGGATCCTGGGCTCAGACGAGACAGAGAGCTGTCACTCCACTGGGAGCGGGACCGAGAAGCCGAGCTGCAGTGGGAGAGAGAAAGGGAGGCAGAATATTGGCACAGGCGGGCCACTGTAGCTTCCTACGGCCTACAGGGACACGACCTGCCTGCCTTCAACTTCGACCCTTTGCCATCAGGTCACCCAGCTTATCCTGAAGCCTCGAGGTCACATTCTCATTCTCACCTGGATCTGAAGTACAGCAGCAGCGGGTACCAAACACCACGACAAGTGTGCCCCTGCTCACCTTATCAGCCTTCGCCCTCTGAGAGCAGAGGCTATGCCTCTGGCTACCAGTCTGAGTCCACATCCCCTCTGCCACCTCCTTCCTCCATGGTAGGGAGCTGTAGCCACAGCAACGGACCAGCAGACCATAACCCTAACCACCATCACCACCATGCGGACTCACAGCAGTCTTACAGCTCTGACTCACATACTGGTGAGTAAACACACACTATACGTAGCATGTTATTACTTAACAGGAATGCTGAGGGAATAAATGATCCCTGATCAACAAAGCAGGCATTGAAAGGTTATGCTCAACAAGGTAGATTCCATTTGCTTTACTCAGAAACTCATTGTTGTTGCCTGTAGAGACTACTCACATAAGTATCTTCTAGTTACATAAGACCCCATCTAAATGTGTGTTTTTTTAACATGTTCCACTCTTCCCGTCCTGTCTTAGAGGGCCTTCGTAGTTCTGGTGAGAGTGTGGGCTGGAGGGATCACATCACCCAGGGGTCCTTTAGGAGGGTCAACAGAGACGGCCATGTGGCTTGCTCCACACCATCCGATATGTCTGGGCCGCCCACACCTGTGCACACCAGTAGCCCGCTTCGCACCCAGGAGAGGTACTCCACATAAGAAATTGATTTGAGGCGCAGCTATATGGTGCATTGCAAAAGTACAAATACTTTTAATTAGTTAATGTTACTAAAACCAACACCAAACTAAGTTATTGGATTAAATATGAAATTCTAATACGAAATTGTATGTGACTAACAAGTAGAAGGAAAATAAAGACTTAAATATTAAGTCATACACTCATTCTTGGAAATACATTAACATTCGCTCTCCCTTTACACCTTACACCTACAGGCATATCTAAACATGTTAGAATAAACTAATACTACTATCTAACAGAGAACTTTAAACCACTGAGAAATAGTCCAGTTCATTTGTCCTATGCAGAATTAGGATGGCTCTAAAAGATATGCAGTATTTGTCTCTGCATCGTGGGTCTTTACAGCTGACAGTCTCAACCCACTGTAAACATTACCCAAAATAATTCAATAAATACCTCCCCCCCCTTTCCTTCCCACACCTTTTCCTTACCTCCTTACCAGTCCATTTTCTATGAATACGCGTGGATTCAGCTGTTCTACAGCGATTACCATTTGTAGCTTCCTTTCTCTGTGGAGGGTCTCAATGACTGTCATCTGGACATCTGTCAGCAATTTTCCCTCTGATTTTGTAGCCTGCTGACATCTACGGAGAAGCCATTAAGAGGCTTTGGAAACATTTCCAGGTGTTTGGGGTCATTTAGCTCATAATATTCTAGTTACTCAGGCACTTCACTCTGGATTTTCATTATCTGTATATCTTAACTATCTGAATTTCTAGAAATAAAGGCTTTGAATGTCACTCACTGTTAAAAGTCTTTGTGATGTTGGAGCTTACATCCCAAATGGGGTGTTGTGATTTTATGTTCAATTCTATTCCCAGTCAGCTGGGAGTTTATATTTCTGATACTTTAAGATGTTTATTGCCCTCCCCGGTAGGGGTGGTAAAATATGTTATTTAATCAGATATTGTTTCAGATTTTATATATTGTTTATGACACACAGTCCTACTGTGTGTTAGAACAATAGATGAAAGAGTGGTTTGAGCACAAATCATGGTCAAACAGTTATTTCTGCACATACATGGAATAAATTCACCACAACTTCTGTTCAAAATATAAGATTTTATTAACAAAAATCCTTCAGTTCCAAGTCAAACATATTCCAGTTTAACACTCTCAACTAAGAATAGTAAAACTCAACTAAACTAAACTAAACTACTATGTACAAAGAGGAAGGGGAAAACGGTTGAAAACCATATTGCAGTTTAAGATGAATCTTGTGTTTAAACAAATGATCAAATTAGCTTTCCACTAATTTTAAAGTAATTGGAATGTTTTCAGAACAATTCACAATGCGAATCCATGAGGTGAATAAAACATTATTTAGCCAAATAATGTTTTATTGAATGATTTGCTCACTCAAAAGCCTTTAGTTAAATGATTCTTTACCCTCTTTGAAATAGCTAGCAGCGAATAGACATCAGGATTCCACTTAATGACTCTTGGTCATACTTGGTAATGGAAATGTAATGAGCATATGAGGAACACATGAACACTACTGTTATACCAGTGTTTAAACTCTCAGTGAAATAAAGCTTGTCCAAGCTTTAGCAACAGCTCAACACATATTCCTGTAGCATAGCATAGCATGCAGTCTATTCTGTTAGCCTAACTTTACTCATCAGTAACACATGTTGTTTGTTCTGTCCCTAATCATGCCAGACCTGCAAACCTTTTTTTTTTCATGTACAGTTGGAAAGCTTGAGTTCCATCCAGCTGCAGCTCAGCAGTCAGGGCAGCGACCAGGGGTTCTTTGTCTTAGTCTCACAGCAGGGGTCCCTCAGGCTCACAGCCAGGGCACGGTTCTCACCCAGTTTGGCTCTATAAGTTCTGAAAATGTGTTGCAAAAGGTCTGTTTTGCAGCAGTTTGATTCTGAAAGGTTCTGACCTATCCTTGATTGTTCTGGAGATCTGGTTCCCCTGGGGCCCGCATCTCCACTGGGGTGGAGAACCAGCCAAAGCGGACCCCAGCTTGCTGGGCAAGGGAGAGGAACCAAAGAGCGCAGGAGGCAAAGAGATCAGGAGGCAAAAAGAGAGAGAATTCTGTGTGCTCTGTGGTTTTGTTCTGTCCTCACACAGAACAAAGTCACATGGCAAGTCACACCTCTGTGACTTGCCTTCCGAAGCCTTGGCTGAAACGAAGTCCCCCAGCTGTTATTCACCAAAGCTGCGTGTTTTCCTCTTGTCATCATGTCAAGATTAAATATGGACACTGGTTCCCAATGTCCAAAAACCATGATCATGGCATATGGCGCAACAGGGGGAAACAGTTAAAGTTTTCAAATCATTCTTAATTTTTTTGTGTCTCAATCAAGTGCTGTGTTTTTTAATCGTGCACACAGCCAGTGTTTCGTTTTTTTACTGTAATAATAATCATGTGTATCCTTTATAGTCCCATCCCAGTAGTCAGAGATTATGAAATCCGGAGCATAATGCAGCACAATGAAGTCCAAGGAATATACCAGGCTAAGAATAAAGTTGTGAAGTTTGAAAAAGGGTCAGGTTTTTATTCTCACTTTAAAGCACTGTTCAATCTGTTTTGCGAAAATAGGAGAAGGCACAACTGAAAACCTATCAAGTTATGGCCTTTCAGCTAAAATTGCAATTCAAGTAGAAAAATCTATTGATGGAACATATGTTAATCAGGCACTCAGCATATCTGTTCTTTATGAAGTGTGGGAAGAAGAAAGGCATTGCTAAAAGAAAACTATAGGAAGTCCTGATTGCTATGAGCCATATAGGAAGCAAAGCAAACATGTGAGAAAAACTGCTTTGGTAATATGAGACCCGAACGGAACGTTTTGATCTACATGCCGTTGCCATATGTGGAGGAGGCCCATCACTGCACATGACCCTAAAAATGCCTGTTTATCATGCACACCCGCAGCACGATACTGATCAGCATGCTGTGAGAAGGCTGATAAAGTTTGAACTAGTTTCCATAAATAAATGGGAGAAAATGTTGGTCTCAAGGCATCAAAAACTAGTAGAGAAATACCTTACAGACTTCCATTTCCAGGACAACAGACTTTGATTCTGCAAAATATTAATGACCTGGGATAAGATTTTTTTTTATGCATTTTCTATTTTGCTGGATAGATTGTCCTTTTTTTCACTCTACTCTAAAATGGGACACTACTATTTACTCATTCAGTCTATTACATAAAATTCATTGAAGTTCATGGTTCTAAATGATAAACTTTTACATTGTTCACCATTTCTGAACATAGAATTTATTTGTAATCCCCTTTGTTAAATTGGGGTTTTTTAATCGTGCACACAGCCAGTGTTTCGTTTTTTTTACTTTAATAATAATCATGTTTATCCTTTATAGTCCCATCCCAGGAGGCAGAGATTATGAAATCCGGACAACAGACATCATCGGCAGTGACAGTGAAGGTTCCCCAGCCCAGGACGGACTAGTTGGTAACAGTAATATAACTCAGCAATCTCCAGAATGCCCACAAAATAGCACCAAACAGGCATCTTTATCACCTACCAAATCAGATTCCCCAGGAGCAGGCCATCCTCTCAGTACTGTACCTCACCAACACAGCACCATAGATGCCCCCTTAGCTGCTTCTTTAGACTTTGAGACAACAACCCCAAGAAACCAGGAGCACTGCCAGGTTCACGCCTCATCAGCACCAAGCACACATTCCCAGCCTGTCCCTCTCAATCCTTCCCCACTCAGTCCATCAGAAGCTGCTGCTGTCCCCTCAACGGTGGCCCAGCATGTAGTCCAGACTAAGACCCAAACCCAAGCCAGTGGTCCTGCTGGACCTAGTTCAGCACATGTGAATGGATCTTCACCAGTAAAGTCTAACCCAGAGAACTCTAAGCACCCCATCTCTAACCCCCCATCTGGTCCTACAACGTCATGCCCACAGCCTGGTTCCAGCAGCATGGATGGCTCTCCTGTGTCAGACACCCCAGTTCCTGGTTTTGCAACTCTAGGTAGAAGGTTAATGTTGAGCGGGTCAGAACCCCACCACTCACATTGCCTACAGCACCATGGACACCCTAATCACCATTATGCAACTGTGGACCATAGCGCTGTTCTGGACTCTAACAAGAGAAATGGTTATCTTGGTCCTACCCCACATCTCCACCCAGCCTCCTACTCCAACTACTCTACCATCTCAATCCCTCTCCCACACCCACAGCCCCCTCTGCCAGAGAAACGGCATCAGCCCACCCAGCCAGGCTCCCCCAGTGAGGGAGGGGGATCAGCCGTGGGCCAGGGGCCTGCCTCCAGCTCCCAGCATCAGCACCACGTCACATTTTCTCCTACAGTGGGGAAAATTGAACCACCTGCAGGTCAAAATGAAGTGGAAGGCGGAACAGACACCCGAGTCAGTGTTAAGTTTGTCCAAGACAGTTCAAGATTCTGGTACAAACCAGGCATCTCCAGAGAGCAAGGTAAGGCCACTAACTACAGAACCATTTTTTTGACAACCAAAGACTTTGAAATATAAAGAATAAGGATTAGACTTTTTTTGTGTTTGTCCATAGCAATTGCAGCTTTGAAGGAGAGAGAGCCAGGAACCTTTCTGATCAGGGACAGTAACTCCTTCCAGGGAGCTTATGGTCTGGCCCTAAAGGTGGCTATACCTCCACCCAATGTGAACCTCAATAGCAAGGGTACAAAGGGCTTTTTTTCCCCTTACCTTTAATTCTTCCTTTCTGTCTACATTCTTCACTAGGATGTTCTAGAATAGAGAGACATCAAGATTTCTAATAGTACAAACCTGCTTTTCACAGCGAGTGATCCACTGGAGCAGCTGGTGAGACATTTCCTGATAGAAACAGGCCCTCGGGGAGTTAAGATCAAAGGGTGTCAGAACGAGCCCTACTTTGGTATGTTTTCCTATTTACATCCAGACAAATTCAATGGCAATGATTCACCAGAAGGTCTTTAATTTTATTACATTTGGCACGAAAATTCATGCTAGTTAACTAAGGGAGCTTTCATTTCTGTGTGAAAAGATCTGTACTGAGCCAATCTTTCCCCTAAAAAACAAAATGCCAAAACTGAAAAAAATGTTTCATGACTACCACTCAAAATATAAAATAGTCTTACTTTAGAATACAAGCAAAAACAAAAATATTTCATCCCCTTAGTTTAACTTATACACACCAATGATCCAATTGTCTTGATTTTTCTTAGACACAATATACCGGTATGCAGCCTTATAAAAGTATTCCTACTTTTTATTTTTATTACTGAACATCTAAAAGGTGTGGTAAACATTTTAAATGAGTCTCCCTCAGACAATGCTTTGAAAAGCCTGTTTTCCTCCCACATTTCTAGCTTCATCTTTTCTTCTTAAAAGATGCCATAAGCCAAACCTTTTTTAACTGGCATAGACTTAGACTGAACTTTATTTATCCCTTAAGGTTACTCCAGGGAAATTCTGGTTCCTGTAGCTTGTATAGAGTACAAAGAGTTAGAACTGTCACCCGATTAAAGAGAGAGACTGATTAAAGTCCCCCGAAATTATTATAAATGCATTAGGGTGCTGAGTCTGTAGCCTGGCTGTGATAGCATGTTTCTCCTGACAGGCAGCTGCTGCGTCCGCTCTCAGGGGAATGTAAACGCAGATGGCAATTACGTAATATAAATAATAAGGCTGCAAGCTAACTGCTCAAGGTCCCGGCAGCATATCACAGTCTTTACAGAGAGATGTCCTGGGTTACACCAGCGGTCGTTCACAAACATAATCAGGCCCAACCACACCTTTCCGTTTCCCACTAGCTTTAGTGTCTCTATCGGCTCTCACTGCAGTGAATCCCAGCAAGTCCACATTAGTGTCGGGTACAAGGTGGTTTAGCCATGTCTCCGTAAAGATTATCAGGCTTTTTTCTCTATAAATCCACCTGTTGTTCAGTGGGGTCAACTTATCAACCTTTTTAGACAGCGAGTTCACATTCTCCATGATTATGGAGGGGATTGATCGTTTGTACCGCCTCCGATTCTCCGCTAGCCTAGCCTTAAGCTTAGCACCAGCTTTGCAGCCTCTGTATTTCCCCCTCAGCTCCTTAGGAATGGCGTGTCGTATAGGCACGTGTACGTAAGAAAACATGCATGTTGCATGTTCAATAAAAACATAAAATTATCCCACGGTTGGAAAACAGTAGAATAATTGGAATAAATTAAAAGGTACAAAACAGCTGAAAATGTTTTTAAAAGAGTGAACAAACAGTGGAATCTAGAGAGCTACTGGAGAGGCTGCCATCTCCTACAGCACTGAAAGAGCGAAAGACAAGTTTTCATCAGTTTAAAGAGGCAGATTCTGTGATTTATTTATTTTTTGGCTCTGAGGTTGGTTTTTAATTTTCATCTTTATTTAGATCCATGATTTTTACATCTGTCCATATTTTTGTTCACTTTTTTAAACTTATAAGATGTTTTCTCTCATTTTTGATCAACAGGGAGTCTGTCTGCATTAGTCTATCAGCACTCCATCACACCCATATCTCTGCCCTGTGCTCTTAAAATCCAAGAAAAAGGTTGGTTCTGTCTGAGGCTTATGTTATGATAAACCAATTGCTAAAATGTATCATGCTTTAATGTTAAAAGTTCATACAAGTTAGCATTCTGCAGATTCTGCTTTACATAATGCTTCCTTGGATCTAGAAATAGTTTCCCTTGCTGAACCTGATTGTTTCAGATCTTGTAGGAGAGGTGCAGGAGGTGCAACCAGTCAGCAACATCAGCACAGCTGCAGACCTGCTGCGACAGGGAGCAGGTGAGTGTTTTTCATGCTGCCTTCTTTGTTAGCCCTGCCTGCGTTAGGACCCTGGCGTACAACTGACGTCCCAGAGTCTTCTTAAACTGGCATATGCTGAACTTTCTATCGATTTTTTCACTTTTGGGCATATACATAGCGTGCTCATAATGAGTCCTCAGCCTATGTCCAATGACAGCCTAAATTATGCATAACGCACGGCAGCGTAATGCCAATGAAATGATGCACAACCCAGTGTCCTAGTACACCTAAGGACACTTTTCAAAACACTTAAGGACACCTGTACAGTGTCCTTTAGTGTTTTGAAAAGCACTTGAAATAAAATGTATTATTATTATTGTTTTTGGCTAAATAAACCTGGAGAGGACCAGGTCCCCCGCGGTGCCCTGTGGGGGCCGCTCGAGGAGTGCAGAATCGGGGGCCCTTTACCAGGGGCCAAAAATTACAATAGCTAAAAATAAGGTAAAAATATATGTTTGTTTTGGACAAAGTTTGCATTCAGACTCTTCTGTTTCAAAAGTAGTTTTATTCTTTGTAAGACTCAGTGGTTTAAAGTGTTAACCTCTCTGATAACAGTTTAACGGGTAGAAATGTATTTGAAAGGCACATCTAGGAAATATAGAAATGTATTTGTTTTTCTCAACCATGTGTCAGAGGAGGCTTGAGGGAGAAAGTATGTGACACGGTGGAAATAAGCATTGGTGCATTTGTTCCTTGTTTTTAACCCAGCCTGTAATGTCCTCTACCTGAACTCTGTGGAAACCGAGTCACTTACCGGCCCCCAAGCAATTGCCAAAGCAACAGATGCAACCCTGGGTCGCCATCCTCGGCCGTCAGCCACGGTGGTCCAGTTCAAGGTGACATCACAGGGCATCACGCTGACTGACAGCCAGCGAAGGTAAAACAAATTTTTCTGTTGATTTTTTTTTTTTTTTTTTACTTCCCTTCTTTATTTAATTTTTTTTCTTTTTCAGGGTTTTCTTTAGGAGACATTACCCAGTGAACAGTGTTACCTTCAGCAGTGTTGACCCAAAGGACAGAAGGTAGGATAATCGAACAAGATGTTGTTCAGGTTCCCATCTAAACTAAAATGAACCTCACAGCTTTCCTGTGACCATGAACAATAATTGCATTAAGTGGCTTTGTTTAAGGCATGGAATTCTGTTTTGCTTATTTTTTCCTTTTTTAGTTCTTTTTTCTATTGCCTGTGAGCATCATTTGGATCTTTGTAGGCATGCTGGCTGCAGCATCTGCATCAGCTGGTTTAGTAGCTCTGCCTGCGTGTTTCAGTGCATGTCTGAGTCGGCTTTCTGTCTCTTTCTCTCTCTGGACTCTAGGTGGACTAACTCTGACAACGCGGCTGTTAAGTAAGTGCTCTGTGAGTTTGTAAGACCTTTAAAGAAAGTAGCTCTGGGGCTGAGAAACAAGCAGCAATAAGAGGCTCTGCATGGCATCAGATAGCGTGCAAGTCTTGGCAAAACACTCAGTCAAGCAATCAAGATTTAATTATGAGATCAAGTATTATGTGACCCAGTTACATAACACTGGTTCTTATTGTTTTACTCACAACAGGTTCTTAAACCACTACTCAGACAAACTAAATATTTGGCTTTTTAATCTTTTTTTTTTCCTCCTTTCCTTTCCCTGCAGGGTGTTTGGTTTTGTTGCTAAGAAACCAGGCAGCATGGCAGAGAACGTGTGCCACCTTTTTGCAGAGCTGGACCCGGAGCAGCCTGCTTCTGCTATCGTCAACTTTATCAATAAGGTCATGCTAGCACAGCGCAGATGAAGAAACCCAAGCAACTCTTTTCTACGGAACATTTACAGCCCGTTAACGGCTTATGACGGTGTTATTTTGATGAGAAGACTGTCCATTGTTTCTGGTAGTGTGAGCCTCCAGAGAAGTGGCATTCTGACAGAAACAGCACAATCATTTATCAGGGGCTGTTATCAAAAGGCGAGCTTTAAGCGTTAAGCAGCAGTTACCAGCTGTTACATTTAGTCAGGGGATACATTAGCCATCATTTAAAACAACCTTGTTTTTTGTAAACCCAAACTCAATCCTCAACCCATGTTGAGGATTGAGGATCAACATGCTACAAAGTTACACTGTTAAATGAAAGTATTTCTTTCATATTTTATCTTTGAAATACCTTATTTCCATCAAAATGATTTTTATCCTAATAGATTAGTTCTAAATACACCCAGCTTACAGATGTGCCTACAGATGTGTAGATGAAAACAATCTATTGAATTACATTAACAGCAACCAACCAATTCTGAAAAAACTCATCTACTGATCATATTAGAACTACTGACCCTTATTCTATGACCACAGAAACCAGTCTTGCCTTTTGATACAAGCCCCCGATTAAATGACCACACACTGCATCACACTGTTGACTTAAACACGGACAAATGACCAAACAGCTCTGGTGAAGGTAAATATTTTAGACAGAACTGCCTTAAATGACAAACAGGTGTTTATATTTTGTGCTTTTAAAAATGCCTTATTTTTCTGTAAAAGAATAACCAAAGGGATGTAATTAACCTCCTATATGTTGAGGTATTCTGACGTATGCATAGCACATCCAAACTGTGCCTTCGCTAGCATTAAACACCTTTATAATCAGAATAGACAATCATCATTGGGTTGGACTCACATTTCTTCTTCCACTCAGAGTGAGCAAGAAACTAAGGCTGAAGAAGGCAAACTGAGACGTGAGGTTTTTTTTTTATCTTATGATGAGGGAGCTGTGTGTGTGGGTTGAAGGTAAATGTGTGGTGAGATGGTTCAAATAGTCAAAGACGATGTCACGTCCCTTTTTTTTTTTCAAAGTGATGCATGTGAATCAGGGTTAAAGCTATGACAGAGATGGGCAGACTGTTTTTTAATAAGGCAGGGTTGGAAAATATAAAGTACACAGCTATACATCCCTTGAGCGAAATGTAAACAAGAATTAAACTAATTAAGATTTTTATCACTACACACACACACACACCCACACACACACACACACATAAAACAAATGAGTCAGCAAGTGGCCAAATGACATATTTAACCAAAGATAAAGCACTCTTGTATTAATTAACCTTTATCAAGCTATATTTTTGTACTTATTCCTTCTTGTATTTTTTACTATACACATATTTAGTGTTGTCTTAGTTGGTAGGAAAGCTCTACTTGTATCACAGCAATAATATATTGTGGTTCTCTCATGTAGTAATATATATTTTTCCATGCAGCTATGTGGAAGAGTGAGGTGACAGTTGGTTTTTATAGAAAGAAAGGAGGCAATTTTGTATGCAAACCAATAAAGAATTCAAGTAAGAAAACATCTTGTGTTTGGCTTCTTTTTTTTTTTTTTTTAAAGGAATAACTTTAGGTTTTTGATACTTAATTTTAACATACACCTTTGTAATTTAGTCTAGGAATTTCTTTTTGAAAGATAATACATCCTTACTTAAGTTAAAGTAAAAAAGGATTGGTTGTACGTTGTACTTAAGTACAAATTTCTAATTACGTTTTTTTTTCCCTGAAAGGTAAAAAAAACTAACTTTCTAAAACTTTATTCTTATAAAAACATTTATAAGACAAAGATTTTATTCCTATAAAATTATTTCACCTACTTTCTGTTCATAGAACAGAAAATAGGTGAAATGATTTTCTTTTGTTGCTCTCTGTATTTGTAGAACTACCATTAAAAAAGATACTCTCTAGTCTTTAATGTGTAGTTCATTAGCTGCTGAATACTTTAAGAGACTGATATTAGTAACATACAGTTGCAAATGCATTAAACTTTAAATAGATATTGAAACATAATGAACATGTAAATTTGAAATCTGATAAAGGGTGAAGAGATTGGGAACATCTTCACTCTCAAAATGTCATTAATAATCTGAAATCTTTCCCAGGCCCTGTTTTTTTTCCATGTCCCTGTGAGTGTTTTTCTATAAACTAACTTCTCCAACTGAACACATTATCTTTATGCTTTTGATTTTTCCTCCATTTTGTTGATATTAAGCTCTTATGTTATTATCAATATCGATTTTACAAACCTGCTTGGAGAAACTAAGCAGTAGCAAGTTCTGGTATCTGTATTCAGTAAAAGTACTTACTCCTCAGAGAGATAAATACTGAAGTAAAGTACATTAACAAAAATATTCTTAAGTCTGAGATGTCAACACCAGGTCTCTGGTGCCTGTTGTGGCGGCAATCCCCGAACCCGGTGGTGGCACCCGGAAGTAAGGGATGCCGTCAAGCTGAAGAAGGAGGCCTAGCTGGCCTTTTTAGCTGGTGGGACTCCGGAGTCAGATGAGAGGTACCAGCAGACCAAACTCGGGTCTGAGAGGAGTTCGCAGAGGCCATGGAGGAGGACTATTGTAGGCCTTGAAAGTGTTCTGGAAAACTCTTTGTCGCCTTAGGAGGGGATTGCTTCTCCAACACTGTTTACACTGTGGGTGGGGAGCTGCTGACCTCGACTGGGGATGTTTTCGCGTGGTGGAAGGAGTACTTTGAGAACTCCTCAATCCCATCGTAACATCTTCCAAAGAGGAGGCAGAGGCTGGGGACTTAGAGCCAGCAGTCAGACCTGTTCCCGGGGCATATTGGCCTCCGCCAGGGCTGCCCTTTGTCACCAGTTCTGTTCATTATATCTATGGCCAGAATTTCTAGGCGTAGCCAGGGACCAGATGGTGTCCGGTTTGGGTACCCCAGGATATCATCTCTGCTCTTTGTGGATGATGTTGTCCTGTTGGTCCTCATCAAACCACGACCTTCGTCATGCACTGGGGCGGTTTCCAGCTGAGTGTGAAGCAGCCAGGAGAAGTGTGAAATAACAGGATACCTACTAAGACATAGCTGCTCTCTTAAGTGGACAAGGAGGGCAAGCTGCAACCACAAGGCTTCTTGTAACTTGGGGGAGCTGCAGAGATCCACAGTTAAGAAGGAAGAATCCATTAACAATACAACTATTACTCTACTACTACATAAACCTTTATAGTGGCAAATTAGGGGTAAATAAGAAAGCTGTGTCTGAAAGAAATAACATATTTAATGTTATTAATTGTCCCATCAACTATGACCAACTTTGTATCCAGCTTGAAGAAGAGAATTGCTGCCATATACTTTTTACTCTGCGGGTTGCAGTATACCTCAGGGTGATGTCACCCAGTTTGCAAATAGAGCAAATAGTTTCATATTGATCAGATATATGGCTTGTAGAAAAATACAAGCAACTCCTGAAAGAAAAGAAAAGTAAACATATGACCATAGGCCAGCGCTTTATATTTAAGACTGGATTCTTACACACCTGTTTTATAGAGTATTGACTTAGGTGGACTGTGTTTAATTGTGTCCAACACAGTTTGGGTTTATTAATCTTTTTTTTTTTTTAGGGGGCGGTCAAGAAATCAGAGCAGGAATATCTTGGCGAGTAATTATCTGTTGGGAAAGATTCTCAGTCATCAAGACATGATTCAATACAGTTTAAAACAGAAACCAGTTTTTGTTTTGTGAACGTTTTAACAAAAACAAAAGAAATCTTGAAAGCTCAGAATTGAGCCTTTATTAGCTTTGAAATAGGTAGTATCTTTGGTTTGCGGTTATGTTTTTTTGGAATTTTTCTTTGTTAAAAGCGCCCTCTAGTGGTTGTTGGGGATTGTTTTTGGGAGGGATCTTTCCTGAGTAATCTCAAATAGTTTCAGAAGGAAATTTCTGATTAGAAAAAAACACAACTGAGAAAAATCAAGAATACATCCACTTCTTGTAGATCTAAAAGCTACGTTTCGTACCAGTGCAATACTAAGAAACAAAAGAAAGTATTTTCAAAAGTATTTTTACTTTTGTTTTCATATCTGATTTATATCAACAAAGAAAAAATATTTTTGAGCATTTCCCATTAAAAACAAAAATAAAATAAAAACACACTGAAAGTCACGATATTTGATCCAAAAAGTTTAAGTAGGCCATTGTTTCAGATGGAGCTGTCATTCTGGCACAACTTGTTTGAGACTTTAAATTGAAAGGTTAGAATTTGAAAAGACTTCAGACTTTAAAGGTCATTTTAAATGGAGACAAATATTGTGAAGAATGTTCTAAATAATCCTCTACAAGAACAACTATTTTCAAATTGTAGTGTTACTACCTAGACTTATGTCATCCAGGATTGGGTTTGTCCCCAAACAGAGTAAAAATTTATTTATTATAATCAAAAAATGAATCTTTATTGTCTAAAATTCAGGTGACCGTGCAAAATATTATTAGCATAAATGTGTCAAAAACAAGAATAGAAAAAAATGACTTATATCAAAAATGTTGTACTTGATAACTGAACAGCCAGTAAAAGCTTAAACAACAGGAATGTCATCCAGTTCAAGCATTTTAGATCATAAAAATTAAAGTGCATGTTTTCCCATTAATTAGTTACTATGGTAGTTCAGTGAACTCACTAATAACTAGTATCTATGATCAGTTATTCTTTAAGTAACGTGGCCAACATTGCTGTTTACTGCAACTCTATGGTCATTTCTACTATTCTATGGTGATTCAGGCTTATTTGTTTCTTCGATCCATCACTGTTAACTGCTGAGGGATACAGATGCGTTTAAGCTGACTTTTTGCAGAGTGTAGTTCCTGAAATAACTGTCGACTCAGCTTCATTCCCAATCTTCAGCCTTGCTTATACTTTCTTTTTTTCCCAAGTGCTCAGGGAAGGTCTCACTCAGATGTGATGATCTTTGTTAGCTATTATTGGCTTTTAGATGCGCTCAGTGTAACATTTTAGATGAATACAACCAGGCACACTGAAAACCCTAGACTGGAAGTGGTGCCGGATGTTTCCACAGTAAACAGACTGCAAGTCAGCCCCTGAATGCATCATCACTGCAGATTAACCAGTTATTTTGAGTGCAATAGGTGATGGTTACATTTTATTGGATTATTGTTTGCAATTAGCCAACACTTTATACATTCTAGAGGCTTTTATTAACAAATACTTCACTTATTACACTAATAAATGTTAAGATACTTTATCAAAACCTTTGTAATTTCCACAGACCTTATGTATATCAATAATATCTGGACTGATAATGAACTATTCATGTCAATTGTTTGGAGAACTAACAGATTCAAAGCAGAATTAAATTCTAGAGCATCTTGACCAGAAACCAAAATTTTACTATAAACTATATCACCTCTGACAGAACAGCAAATCAGAACAGTTCCATGGAAAAGTTGTTTGAGAAGGACAAACCCTCTCTTTATTCTTTCTTGTGTCCTTTGGCAGAACTGTAAAACATGCATTGTACCATGAAACTAGTCTATGTTCAAAATAAGCTGGTTGACAGAACTGAACTTTTGTTCCCTGGACAAGTGATTTTTTTAGATTTCCAAAGTGATCAGAAACAAGAATTCTTTGGGGAAATATATTTGAACTAGCTGTCTTCTTTCGAGACTTTTGCATCCTACAGGATTTCCCCTAGGTATTTGATGTTTTTCTTTCTACAAGGACAATGGACCTTTATATCCATCTGATGCCAACATGGATCAAGCTCTGCACCGGTGGTAAAGAAGCATTTGTAAGGGAGATTCTTGACATTTAGAAACTTATCTAGCCCATCCAAACACCTCGTTATGATCTGACAGCTATTCTCAGCAGAATCTTGCTGTATATTTTGCAGATTTATGAATGGTGGGTTACTATGCTGAGGAGTCAGACAATACTTTCACAAAATGGCAATGATTTCAACCACATATGTTCTCTTTTATAGTGATCAATTTATGTTGAAAGAGGAAAAAGGTAGAATTTTTCAGTGTCATGTCAATGACAACTGGATTAAGTTGTTTAGCTGTTTATTTAATGCTAGAGCAGAAATGCAGAACTGTTTTCCTCATATAAAGTTAAATTTTGAGTAAAATAAAGCTGAAATTTTTTTGAAATGGATTTGCTTTAATTTGCTGAGCCTTCCTATAGCCAATAGACACCATATTTATGTTTCAAGTAAAGGACATACCCCATCCATCCATCCATCCATCCATCCATCCATCATCTGACACGCTTGTCCAAATTGGGGTTGCGAGGGGTGCTGGTGCCTATCTCCAGCTGTCAATGGCTGAGAGGCAGGGTACACCCTGGACAGGTCGCCAGTCCATAGCGGGACATACCCTAATCATTTTTTATTCTGAGATCATTTATGTGTTGCCCTGCGTCAGACTGGCCATCTCTTTAGGGTGTTTTCTGCCTCCCGCCCATTGAAATCTGGAGATAGGCACGGCCAAACTGCGACCCT